AGTCTATGCAGACCTTTCAGTATATATGCAAAATGTGTTCACTGTAACCTAGCCAAAGCATTTTACGCCGCTTGCAATTTCTGGATTGGCAAACCAATTCCAAAACCTTGCCATGGAAACTGTAGGGACTAGTATGTCAGTGGTCAGCCACGGTTTCAACAGTATCAATGATGAGATGGAAAACTCATCAAACACATTCAGGAAGTCATCTTGATCTACTGGGTAACCACATCAGACCACTTAACCAGTCCTCCATTTCTGCAGAGATTTGTAGCAGCCACCAATTTAAAAATCGCAAGAAAGAGATCTGACCACGACAATAGAGTTTTAGAGAGCTCATCCATCAGCAGATTACCTGTTTTAGTCAGTCAAATATCAAATCTCCTGCCAGTTCATGAGACTAGCTTATATTAGGTTCACATTGCATGACAATCATGAAATCCTGGGGCAACCTTTCCACAAACTGAAGTTTCTAAGGACAAGATATCTAAGCTAGGTCACATCAGCTAAGTTAGGAAAAGACACTGTGGTGCAGTGGTACACATTTTATTTATTTATTTATTTTATTTAATTGAATTTTTACCCCGCCCTTCTCCTTGCGGACTCAGGGAGGCTGACAGCCTGATAAAAAACAATACAAACAATATCCCAATACTATCGTTAAAAAACATAATTAAAATGAAATATTTAGATTTGGCCTTTGTAATTTAAAATTGTTTTTAAAACCCCGCTAAAAATTTCCCCTTAGGCCAGTCCTGCTAGTTGAAATAGCCATGTCTTAAGGGCGCGGCGGAAGGAAGGGAGATCCGGGATCACCCGGATCTCTGGGGGTAGTTCGTTCTAGAGGGTGGGAGCTCCCACCGAGAAGGCCCTCCCCCTGGGGGCCGCCAGCCGGCACTGTCTGGCTGACGGCACCCTGAGGAGACCCACTCTGTGGGAGCGTACCAGCCGATGGGAGGTAATCTGAGGCAGAAGGCGGTCTCGGAGATATCCAGGTCCTATATTAGCCTATATATTCCTATATAGCCTACATATTCCTATATTAGCCCATCCAATACAGTATCAAATGCCCAAGACTGGAAATGAAACTATAATTTCTAACTAGTTACAGACACATGGAATGTTCGGAGGTATTTGTTTTTCTATAAGACTGATAGTTTCAGCGAAGGCCACAGAAACTAACCCGAAACTAAATATTTTAATATTTAAAATAGCCTACCCCAATCTGTTGACTTCCAATTATTTATTTATTTATTTATTAATCAAATTTATAGAGCTGCCTATCTCACAGAAGATGATTCTGGGAGGCACAGAACATTAGACAAAACAGGTAATATAAAAAGAACACATAAACATCTAGAAAAGCACAATAATAAATACCATGAAAACAACTATACTAACCATAGGCAAAGAGAGGATAAAAATGGTCCCCCTCAACAACATAACCAGGTTGATGGTCTTTTGGAATATCAAAGAGAATGGGCAAATCTAATTTTTGGGGGGAGGAGGGGACAGGGGAATAATATTCCATAAGGTAGATGCCACACCAGAGAAGGCATGTCTCCTGGGAACACTGGTGATGGGTAGGTCCCTAGAATACCTTCTCTTTGAGATCTGGTGGGTTGAGATTACCAAGAAGAGTTGGCCTCTCTGATTGTCTGATCTCATGCCATGAAGGGCTTTAAAGGTTAAAACCAGCACCTGAAGCAAATTGGCAACCAATATAGCTCATGGGTCAGAGGTGTAACATACACTGCTCTAGCACTACACATAGTTGCCCATGCCACTGTATTGTGTACCAGCTGAAGCTTCTAGATACTCTTCAAAGACAGATGCATGTAGAGTGCATTTCAGTGGTCCAAGGTGGAGGTTGACAAGAGCATGACTGACTATAAGTAGGGCCTGCCAATCCAGGAATGCGTGCAATTGGTCTGCAGTTATGTTGGACTACAGTTCCCATATTTTCAATTCAGAAATGTGTTGGCCATGCTAACTATGTATCATGACAACTGTAATTCTAGTACACCTGGAAGATACCAACCTGAGAAAGTTTGCATTAGAAAATTGTACAGTGACTCAGAGATTTAGATTCTAATCCCCACTCAGTCATGGCATTAGGTCACTTTTTCATTATCTGCCTAAGCTACTTTATCAGATTATTGTGAGGTCAAAATGTGTATGGAAAGATGTGATGTACATCAACTTGAGCTCTTGAAGAAAAGATATGTAATAGGCTTCCATCTACAGATTGTGTGTGTGTGTGTGTGAGACACAAGGATGTGCTGGTAAGTGTTGCCTTTAGTACAAATATTCAGGCATTAAATCTTACTGATAATCTATTAAATATCATAGCTCTTCTCAGTCCATTTACGTATTATTTCTCTCCATTTCCCAGAAAAACTGCATATTGTGTATTTATATGAGATTATATATATTCAAGTGCTCTATAGGCAAAAAGATAACCAATAAAAACAATAGCAAGAATAACAGTACCTCGATAAAATAAAGTATGCACTTGTTTACGCCCAACATATTTACTCATTTACACTCAAACTATATATATATATATTTATTGAAAACAAACCCAGTTATACCTAATCTGCTGAATTATACAAATATACTAAAAGCAACTGACAGCATCCTATTTCATCCTCGGGGACAAGGCCGGACCGCTATTGTGGAGAAAGGTTCCCCACTTAGGACCCCTTCGCTCAGAAATCTGAAAGTAGCTTGCATCTGCCAAGTAGATATCTAGTGCTTCAGGTGTATTAAAGTGGAAATTATTTTAATGACAAGAGGTGTTTACGGCCAACTGATTCCAAAGGCAGACCCTTGCAAGGGGGGGAGAGAGGTGGAGCGCTCTCCAATTCAATGAGCTACTAAGAGGAAGGGAAGGTTGCAGTTGGTGTGAGCCACTGAAGAAGTCCCTTTCTTGGCATATAGCTGGTGTCTCATTCACATTTGCTTCTGGGTGTGGATTCGTTTATGGCAGGGGTGCCCAGAAGTTACCGTGTAAACTTCGGTGTAACTACCTCCCTTTTTGCCCTTAGGAGTGCCTTCCGCTTAGGGTGGGCAGAGGCGGGGGGGGGGAGGGTGTTTCATTTTTTTCCTTAAAGTTAGCAGCCTCCCTCTTCCAAGGTCCCCCCCCCCGACCTTCAGAAGTGAGAAGCGGGGTGTCTTGAGAAGTGTGTGTGTGGTGTGTGGTGTGTGTGTGTGTGTAAGGACGCCTCCCTAAAGCCGCTTGGGATTTTCTGTGAGAAGTTCCCTCGCTTTTTTCTTCCTCCTCGCCTGGCCCCTGCAACTCTTTTGTGAATGGGGCCAGTGCAACAGGCGGCCTTTCACCCCGCCCAAGAACCAATGCCAGACAGCCACACTCGGAGAATTGTTTGTTAATAGTCCAATTAGATAATTGCCATCTTTCACTCCTTTCGCTCTACATTTCCCATAAAGGCCTGAATGAGGAGAGCAGCGTGAAGAGGGCTTCTGCCCTGCAAGGTGACAAGAAAGGCTGGAGCATGCTCTGTGCACAAAGCCAGGCGCTTGAATTGAATCATTGTCGTCTAATCAATGGTCTTATTGGATTACTGGCTGTTGCGGTTCTCAAAGATATTGTAGCCGAGACAATGAAATAGCCAGGGGGAAAAACTTTTCTCTCGCTCGCTCGCTCGCTCTCGTTCTCCCCGCCCCCTTTAGTAGATCACGCAGTTGAGATCTGCCCCGCACTCTCCTCCTCCTCCTCCTCCTCCTCTCTCCTTCTCTCTCTTGGATCCATCTGGATACAAAGCAGGCTTTTTTTTTTAGAGGCGGGAGGGAGGAAGGAAGGAAGGAAGCTCTGGAAATGTGTTCAATTTTTATGAAAGGCGTGCAGGGGGAGTGGGGGGGGGCACCTACATGTATCCGCATTGAATTAACCAAAGGAAAGAGTTGTAAGATGGCTGGTTGGCAGTAGAGAGAAGCGTTTAGGGGGATCCCTCCGATGTAACACCCTCTTCTGCCCATCTCCAACGGAGGAACAAATCGTTTCTTATTTCTGGGATCTGGAATCCATACCAAGACGAGCCTCTCTCTCCCTCTCTCCCTCCCTCCCCCAAACGGTTGACAGGGTTTCCCTTTAGGGAGGTGACTGTTTGCAGAGAAGATCTGCCAAGATCCTTTTGGTACACTGGCGGAGCCTTGTCCAGATCTATTTATAAAGAGATTTGTATTTCTGTCTGAGGCGTGTCTGGGATGAACGCATTCGGAAATCGGGAAAGGTGAACGCCGAACTGGAGAAAGTTAATAATGGCTGCTAATGGCCCCTAACAATTCTGGCTGAATCTTGTCAAGAGTTGTTTTTTTGTTTTTTTTTCCCCCTTCCCCTTTTCTTCCCTCGCCCCCTTCTCCCGCTCCTTCCATTGATCCTTCTTCTCGTTCTCCTTCTTCTCCTTCTGGAAATCTCAGCCTTTTGATTGTGTGTTTCCTGAAAGCAAGGCCAATCATTTCAGTTTATTCACTGGCTAAACTCGACTTGATTGGGGACAAGCATACAAACCACCCATTACGAAGTGATATATTATCCAAACAATTTAGTGTATTCATGAGGTAAACCTAAATGTGGAGGCTGCAAAATTACCCGTAATCAATTGAAACAGCGAGTGCGCGTCCCCTCTGGGTGTCTAACCGCTGCATCCCCTCTCTGTAATAAGGGAGGCATTAAATCATTTTAGAGTTGCACTGTTGAGTACCTGATCATTGGGGCGCGGGGAAGCTGGACACTCGCACAAGGACGCTGGGATTGAGGAAGCGGCCGATTTCCTGCCTCCCCAGCAGACGAACCGACTCTCGCCTTCGAGGGATTCGCTTGTTACTCACCGAACTGATCGTACGCCGGGCGATATTCAGCAGATTTCTCTTCTTTTCCTCCTCCCCTCCGCCCTCATCCCGCGCCTCTTTTCTCTCTCTCTCTCTCTCTCCCACTTAAAAAACAAAACAAAACAAACCCCTACACCATATTGCACTACATGTTTGGGAAACAAGACAAAATGGACGTTAGATGCAATTCAGAGCTGGAAACCAACCGGCTCTCCAAGAACGGGCATAAAGAAGGCAAGGAAAGCAAAAGCTCCGAAGGAAATATTTCGAATTCTTTTTTGAAAGAACCGCAAGGGACTTTTTCGGCTTCGGGCGTCTCGGAAGACTGCAATAAAAATAAATCCAGTTCCGCTGACCCGGATTATTGCAGAAGAATACTAGTCCGAGGTAGGACCCGTCGCTTTACGTTCTGAAATTTTTTGATTAATGACTTTTTTCCCGCCCGCCCGCTTCCTTTCCTTTCCTGTCGTTTTTACTTTCGGTTTTCGTTTTTCGTTTTTCTCGTTTCGAAATCAGATGAATTGCTGTGGTTTCCTAATGGCTTCACTCCGTTCTTTTTAGCGCTTTCATCCCGTTCTCGAGCTGTTTCTCAGGTCTAGGAATATTTTTGCAATTTGGATTGTCAAGGATTGTGAAAGGGCTCCATGCCCAAACCTTACGTTTTAGCTGAGGCGGCGTGTTTATACAGATTATCTTTTCTTTTTCTCCGTCTTGAGGGAAGGGAAAGCTAAGATCTACCCCAGTTGTGTTTCTTCTGTAGTTTTACCTTTGCTTTAAAGGGCAGGAAAGAGGTTGCTAAGTCCTATTTTGATCCCATTAGATTCAGCCTACAATTCTTTTGACTGTTTGCATTCGAGTAAGACCCACCGGATTCAGTACAGTAGAACTTACTTCTCCATAGGAGTTTTCAGTCACAGCCTTTTGCAAAAAACTGCTTCTTTGAAATTTCTCTTCCGCCCTCCAAAAAAAGAAAAAGGGGAAAGAAAACCACCTCCAGTCCTTAAGGTAAGCAAAACAGAAAAGAAGAGACGGAGGAAGAAAAATAACCTCTGGAGACTTATTCAGAAATGTACTGGGCGCTTCTCTTATTTTCAGCCTATTACTTTTGTCCCATTCTTTGATTTCCAACAGCAGCAGGAAATTCTTTCTCGCCTGAGGACATAGCGACCCCCCCCAAGACAAGTCTTTTCCTCCAAGCATTCCTTACCCTTGAACCCATTCCCGCTCAAATATTTGGCGGTTGCAGCTTTTTTGATAGTGATACCAAAATCTATCAGAAAGCGGTGTAGTAGTGGAGATGTTTGCTGCTATTATTCAGTTAGTGCCATTTTAGCACGTTTACTTAAAAACGGTTTATGGTTCTGTTTAGTTCCTTGATATGATTTTCTTTTGTTTTTATTCTAACCCGGATTATTATCTTCTTTCCGCCTCCTCCAATAAACAACAATGGAATAATTTTCCATTGCTATTAAAATTAAAAAAAAAATTAACAAGTCAGTTTTTCATTTCTGTAATTACATATCCGTGTGTGTGTGTGTGTGTGTGTGTGTGTGTGTGTGCGCTTGTGCGTTTAAAAAAGATTTTATTCTGCTCACATGTGCATGAATGAAAACCAGGCCTGGTAATTCATCCAGGACACCACCACCACCACCACTACCACCCCGGTTGAAAGAAGAAACCAAATCTTAGAAGTCTAGGCTTGCTTCCTCACAGATAGGAAGGAAAATTACAGGGCAAACCCATAAAGGAAAGCCTGGTATGTAATTTGAATTAGATTGTACTTCACCGTCAAGAGGCTAGTGAGATTTGCAATGTTGTGGCCAGATCAAGGTGGAGCAGAAAATGGGCAGCCACAAAGGGCAACTTGATGTTCTTCAACATGGAAAAGCAGGCAGCTCCAGAGAGAGAGAGAGAGAGAGAGCGGGCTGCAGAAGGTGGACATCACAGCTCTCTTGAGATGGCTCACTTGAATGCTTTCCCTGTAGGGAAATCTAGGGCACTCAAGCAGGTGTGAATGTGCAAGGCAGAGACTGCTGGGCATAGGCCTCGGGTGGTGCCTAGGCGGTCTTGAAACCTGTGAGGTTCCTTTGGAGTTCTTTGTGTTAGGGCTCTTCCCTTGGGAGGGAGGATGGCGTGCTTTATAACCCACCATCTGAGAACGTGGTGCAGGGGCTAGCAGGAAATTCTGGAGACTCCTTCAATCCCTGCCAAGAGAGGCTTCTTGCTCTGTCTGGAGTGGCCTCTCCAGGCAGTTCTTAAAAACTGGATCCGTGAGCCACCCACCCTTCTGGATCTAAACATGCCTCCTTCTCTTTTTGCCAGATGCCAAAGGTTCCATCAGGGAGATCATTCTTCCCAAAGGGCTTGATCTCGACCGCCCCAAGAGGACTCGAACTTCTTTCACTGCCGAACAACTTTATAGGCTTGAGATGGAATTCCAGAGGTGCCAATATGTGGTTGGACGGGAAAGAACAGAGCTGGCCAGGCAGCTCAATCTCTCAGAAACTCAGGTACTAAAGATTCAAACGTATCAGTGCCAAAATACGGTCTGGGAATTGGGGCGATGGCTCCAGCAGGAGCGTTCTCTTCCCTAGAGATGAGGAGGTTTTCACTTACTGCCAGGCCTAGAGGACTGTTAACTAACATTTGGGTAGCTTCCTACATGGGTGTGGTTGGTGTTGAAGACCAGTCTTCCTTTTTTCTTTTTTCTTTTTGCAGCTAACCACCCAAAGATGGCCAAGCCTAAACTTAGGGCACAACAGTAAAATCCCACTCTTTTCATGCTTTTGCAGGTTTCCTCCTTTCAAAGAGAGTTTTTCAACTTGATCAGCATCTAAATATCTGGAAGGAATGGAAGCTGTTTGTTTCAATAGGGCGTGAATTGCCTCCTGAAACGCCAGAGGTTAAGAACCCAAGAAATAAATTGGCTCAGGGAAATGAGGAGTTACTGCAAGTATATAACTTGCTTCTAAGTCCACAAATATTTCATATACTCTGTAAGCATTTAATCTGAAAAATAAATCAGCCTCTTAAGATAATTTTTGAGAACTATAGAAACAGTCCTGTGTACTTATACACAAGAATCTTTGAAGAAACTCCCTTCCCACAAACACTCATAGCTCAGATAGTGAGGGCTTCTGGAAGAGAAACTTGGAGGAAAAACTACAGAAGTTGCAAGGATCTCCTCTCAACAAAATAAGACCAAATCCCAGGAAAAAAGTAAAATTTCAAATAAAATAAAATAAGAATTTACACTAAAATATCACTTAAGAGAATCCATAGCTTATGGAAGAAACAGAGTATTTCTTGGAAGTGGAAAAATGTTATTTTTCTTTTGCTATAGTCAATAGGGCTTTTCCTTCCATGCATTTAAGGGTACAGCTTAAAAGCCTGAAAACCAATGTGCTGCTCTGCTCGGACTTCCACCAGGTGACAATAGTACTGAATTTATTTGGTATCTCAATACATTGTTAGTGCTTAAAGAGATGTTGCTGTTGTGGATTTAAGCAATTTTGGGGTTCTAAAAATACTGATTTCTGAAGAATACTTAAGTTGACTTTAATGGTGTTTCTCTATTAAATGTGTGCATATCTAAGTATCACTGTTTACAATAGGATACTGGGCTGTTTGTTCTAATACTGTTAAAATTAAAATAAATAGAGGGTATAAGAATGTATTCTGACTGGCGTGCTGAAAAGAATCCCAGCAGTATAGATCTCTTTGCAGAACTTTGCTGGACTTACCTTTTTTTTTTTGTTTCCCTAGTTTTGTAAGTTTGACCGACAACTATTACCTTTTTATTAAAAAAAAACACAAAAAGAAAAAGAAAGCAAGGAGATAGTGCAGGCAACTGCTTGTGTTTTTGCATAATTTAATATATAATAATTTTCCTTAATTCAAGGAACATTCTCGTGGGAGAATGAATAGAACTGTAATGAATAGAACTGTTTTCTGATCAGATGTAGACATGCTTTAAGAAGATATAGTTTACTTTTAGGTGGAAGCATCTGTGTGATTTTCTTTGGACTGGGAAATCAACAGGATTGGAGCTATTTAACTTTAGATGCAATTCCTTCATGGAATTCTGAGTTGTCGGCCAGACAGGAAATAGGGAAAATACTCAGAAAATAATAATGGCAAAAAACTTTGGCACTGCTCCCCCAACACAAAATGAGGTCATCAGAAATTTCTGAAGTCATTAGAAATTGAGCTCCATTTAAAGGAAACATCTCTTTTAAATGGGTATCCAAGTATTTTCCTTTTCTGCCATATATGGGGGGTGTGTGTGTATGTGTATGTGTAAAAAGAAAGAGAAACCAAAACGGCTTAATATATAAATAAATGCAGGGGTCAGAATAGCAAAAGGCTATTTTTTTCATCCATGTTAAAATGTTCAGATATGCTTCCAGAAATGAACAAAATCCCCTTCCCATTCCTTAAACCAACCTTGCTAGATGAAGATTTGTTGAACTCAAATATTAAGCAAGGATTTCACTGAACTTCCTTTGGTCTCATAAAGTTACTGCCTCTATGGATTATGGATTTTGTTTTCCTCAACATTATCACTTGACTTGTTCTTCCTGTCTTGAATGAGCAGTCACAGGCACAACAGCAAATGCCCATTTACTCCCATCAAGGTTCAAATTCTTCAGTTTAGCCCAAATTTTGCCATTTGTGGTAGTAATTCTTCTAAGTACCTCTTTATGGTGAAAAATACAACTGTGTTAAATATCAAGGACTTTGTTGCTCTTTCCCCGGATACCAGATTAGCTGTTGGAGGCAATGGACAGAATGCCTGGCAGTAGGGCAGACAATGACAATGAGATCAGCCCCAAATGGGTCTGCTCTGATTTTGAAAGCCAAGTTCTTTCTTTCATTCAGTCATACAACCTGAAGAATAGGATGGGGAGGGGAATATGAAAGGCGGGGCCATTTTCTGCATATGTGTGTTTATATACATGTGGGCACAGGTGTCTGTGTGCATACCATACAGAGGCAGAGACATTTATTCCCTTCCTGCAAGGGAAAAAATACCATCTAAAAGCTGTACTTTGCTAAATAAAGAGTGGGCGGGGAAGATAATATAATATATATTATCTTATGATATAAGTTAATATAAAATGCAGGGTTTAATTTTATGATTTAAATAAAATGCTTTGAGAAAATTGAAAACCGTTAAGTCAAAATTTGAAATCAGGTGGTCAGACTCAAAAAGAGAAACAGATAGATGCATTACCAAAAGTATTATCTATACTTGATGCTTTTAAATATGTTAATTTAAGAAATAGAATGAAATGTGTTGTACATTTTACACACAGAGAACAAGAAGAACTAGGATAAAATGTAGGTGTGGCTTTATTATTTCTACTTGAATCATCTGTTAACAGGAAGGAAGGAAGGAAGGGATTAGTTTTATACTTCTTAGAAAAGATGTACTATAATGAACCTCTCTGACAAGCTAATTAGCATTTCTTTGCCTATCAGATTTAGCCGGGGTGGTAGGTTTGGTAGGCAAAGGACAGCGGCTGTACAGCCTAAATGCCATAGGAATCTAAGTGAAGGATAGCTGGGAATGGCTGAAGTAGCTGCCGGATGGGGAGCACTCAGGCCTGCCTTTCAGGGGAAAACCTAAATTAGCCGAAATCTTCCAAAAGCTGTTGCCCGCAGATGAGACCTTGGGATAAAAAAAATGGCAAATTTAAGTAGGAGTGCCTAAACAACGACAAACCACCATGTATGAGGGACCTAAGAAGATAAAGTGTTTAGAGGCATCCTTTCCAAGGACATAGAAGTGTTGCCTGATTTCAGTTAATTCATTGTGGTTTCATCCTCCCCCCCCCCAAACTTGTTTCTGAAAACTCCTAGCTGTGGGGATACAGGCTTAGAAGGTGTGGAAAACGAGGCACTGCGGCTTCCTCCACGTAACTCTTGTTTCACCTTATTTTGTTAGCGATGCCATCCCCGCTGCTCAGCACACGCACACGCACATGCCGAAGCTTTTCTGGCCGCTTCCTGCGGCTTCTGAAATAAGCCCAAAACAGCATAAGTCCACAATACACGCGTGTCTTCAAGGCTCCGAAGCTTGAAACCTTTGAAGTTTTTGCAATTCCCTGACACTCCGGTAGCACTTTCCAGAGTGCAGCCTGGCTTCCCCGATCCTGGTGGAAAAGGAGCAGACTTCCATTTGCTCCCTGACATCCACGCGCTCCCAGCCGGCTGCACACGCGCCCACAGAGGTTTCCGCCGCAAGCCGCTTGACTCCCACGGAGAAATCTCCGTGTCCCCCCCCCCCCCCGGGGAACTCTCCAGTCGGCCGCTGTGGTCCTGTGGAGGCCTCTGGAAAGAGGCCGAGAATTGCGATGGGAGGGACAATGGCGGCCTTTTCTCTCTTGCTCCAGGCCTAAGAAGGCCAAGGCCTTTGCTAGGCCCCGCTA